AATTCTCAAGATGCAAAAGTGGCCCCGGGGAAGGGGTACTGACCTCTGAGAGAATGCGTTTCGTGTGCGCTTGCCCAGGTAACCACACTGATACGCTGGCCCCCGGGAGGAATGCCCCCCCAACAAAAAAATCAAACGCCCCTGGAAAACCAGGGAGAAGGCCCCCGCTGGACACCGGCCTCCCTAACCGGGAGGGGACCCCCCCACCGAGAGGGGGGGGGTTCGAACCGGGAGGAGGGCCCCCCTCGTGTCCAGGGGGGGAAACCAATGGGGGGGGGGGCCCTCAGGCCCTGAGTTGCAAGGGAGGGGGGCGAACTTGGGGGGGGTGGGGGGGCCGCCTCCTTGAGCCGCTGGGGAGGGGGAGTTCGAATCGTTCCCCCCCTTCTGTGCGCGTCGTCGTCGTCGCGTAACGCCATCCCCGTCGGCGTCGCCGTCACCGCCGTCGCCGTCGCCGCGTCGCCATCGCCGTTTCCGTCGCCGTCGCCGCCGACGTCGCCGTCGCCGCCGTCGTCGTCGCCGTCGCCGCCGCCGTCGTCGTCGTCGCCGTCGTCGTCATCGTCGTCGTTGTCGTCGTCGTCGTCGCCTTCATGTCGCCGGTCGCCGTCGCCGCCGCCGTCGCCGTCGTCGTTGTCGTGGTCGTCGTCGTCGTCGTAGTAGTAGTAGTCGTAGTCGTCGCCGTCGTCGTCGCCGTTGCCTTCGCCGTCGCCACCGCCGTCGCAGTCGCAGTCGCCGCCGCCGCCGCCGCAGCCGCCGCCATGCTCGCCAAACGCCGTCGCCGTAGGCGAATTGCACCCAAGAGATAACACCACATAGTTGCATGGATGGCACACGTTGCACCGCACATCGATTCTCCTTTTTAAAAGAGAATCGACTCTCCCCCCCCCCGGCGTTATCGGTCCCCCTATCGGGTATGTAAATCACATATGATTATGACCACATGTCCATCCTAAATATGAAATCGCAATGTCCCAGGCCAGCCAGTATCCCCCCCTGAAGTTCCCTTGTAAAAAACACTATGCGGTGACATTGTTTGTTCTAACATAGCACTTTTTCTCGAATCCCTTGAAAAAATGACGAAGTGAACACGCGCGCGTCGTCGCGCGCGCATGCCGAAATCCTTAAAAAACCTTCGGTGCCGGAAGGATTTCGCAATCGAGATTCCAAAACAAACACACACACAAAAAAAACAGGGTTTCGTAACACTGATTTGCTAAAAAAGTTTACGTGCGAGCTCTTGTTAAATCTTAAGAAAATCATTGGTTTTTCAAGATTTTCACAACATTCTACCAAACGGGCGTCGCGCGCGCGCATGTCGAAATCTGTCGAACGCCCTTTCGCGTGTGCCGTCGCGAGAATCCTCTGCAAAAAACGGGACGAAGTGCAGACGCGCGCGTCGTCGCGCGCGTACGCCGAAATCCTTCAAAACCCATCGGTTTCGGAAGGATTTCAAAATCGCGCGTCCAAAAAACCTACAAAAAACACCAGGTTTCGCAACACGGACTTTCAACAAAAGCATGCGCGCGCGCTCTTGCGGCGTCGTCGTCGTCGTCGTCGTCTTCCCTCCTCCCGCGTCGTCGTCGTCGTCGCCCACGTCGTCCTCTGTCTGTCCTCGTGTTCGTCGTCGTCGTCCTCTTTGGCGTCGTGGTCGTTCCCGTCGTCGTTGTCGCCGTGGTCGTCCTTCCTCCTCCTCCCTCGTCGTCGTCGTCCGTCTCCGCGTCTCGTCGTCGTCCCTCCTATTTCGTCGCCGTCATCGTCGTCGTCGTCGTCGTCTTCCCTCCTCCCTCGTCGTTGTCGTCGTCGGCGTCGCCGTCCTTCCTCCTTCTTTGCGTTCGCGTCGTCGCCGTCCTCCCTCCTCCCTCGTCGTTGTCTTCGTTGTCGTCGTTGTCGCCGCCGTCGTCCTCCCTCCTCCCTCGTCGTCGTCTTCGCTGGCGACGTCGTCGTCGTCTTCGTCGTCGGCGTCGGCGTCGTCGTCGTCTTTGTCGTCGTCGACGTCAGCGTCGTCGTCGTCGCCGCCGTCGTCGTCGTCGTCGTGGTCGCTGTCGTCGTCGGCGTCGGTTTCGTGGCCAAGTGCCATGCGGTACCTACCGTCACGGTCTTGACTTAAGAGGTCTTGCGACCAAGTTGCGGGTGGGAGGGTGGGATGTTTGCACGAGCAGTGGAGAGGACAGCCTCAAGACGGTCAAAGTGAATTGCACCACATTGATTGCACCACATGTCTTACACCAGACACAAGTTGCACCTCATTGCTTGCCCCTAAGAGCTTGCACAATTCAGCTTGGACAACCGATACTGCATATCAGGTAGAATGTACCGCAAAGATTGAACCACCTGCATCGCACCACACATATTGTATGGTATTGCTGCATCTGTGAGTATGGGTAAGCAGTAAAGCTGTGGGAATGTGAAGTGCAACACGTACGGTGCACCATACCAATGTATATCTCGAAATTGCAGATCACGGATGAAAATGAAAAGTGAGCGGAGCCAACGCTGGCAAGCATGCGCATCCTCAATATATATATATATATATATATATATATATGCGAGACAGCGTGATCCACCGCCGCTTTACTGTGGAAAATTGCCGCCCTTTTCCTCCGGAACCCGGGGGTCCCCCCCCCCCTCCGAAAATCCCTCCCCCTCTGCTGGAACCCCCCCCGCTTCCCCCGGCAAAACCCCCCCCCCTCCCCTAACCCTCCCCCCCCCCCCTCTGGAAAACCGGGGGGGATCACTACCGGTTCCAACCCCCCCCCCCCCACCCCCCTCGAAAACCGGAGGTTCTACCGCTGCTGGCGGAAAACCGGGGGGGGTCACTACCGGTTCGAACCCCTCCCCCACCCCCCCTCCGGAAAACCGGGGGGGGTCACTACCGCCCCAACCCCCCCCCTCGAAAACCGGAGGGGGGTCACTACCGGTTCGAACCCCTCCCCACCCCACCCCCCTCACCGCCAGCAAACGATTCCCGGTCCCTACCACCGTCCTCACCACATCCCCCACTGTTGTTCCCAACACCACTGTCCTCACCACCACTGTCCCCACTGGTTCCACCACCGCCCCTACTGTCCCCACCAGTGCCACCACCACTGTCGCACTGTCCCCACTGTCCCCACCACTGTTCCCACCACGGCTCCACTCTCCCAACTTTCTCCACGGCCCCAACAACTGCCCGACCATCCCCACTGTCCCCACTGTCCCACTGACTCCTCCGCTGTCCCACTGAGCTGTCCCACTGTTCCCACCACTGTCCCCACTGTCCCCACCACTGTCCCCACTGTACCTCTGTCCCATTGTCCCACCGCCGTCCTCGCCACCGCCTTCACCACTGTCCCCACCACCACTGTACCCTCCACTGTCCTACTGTTTCCACCACATTCCCACTGTCCCCACACCACTGTCCCCACCACCACCGTCCCCACCAGTCCCACTGTCCCAACTGTTCCCACCATTGTCCTCACCATTGTCCCCACCACTACCGTCCCCACCACTGTCCCACTGTCCCCACCACTGTCCCGCGCTGTCCCTTCACCACTGTCCCCACCACCACCGTCCCCACCACTGTCCGCACCCCCCCTCGGTTTTCGAGGGGGGGGCGGGGTTCGAACCGGTAGTGACCCCCCCCCCGGTTTTCGAGTTCGAAAAGGGGGGGGGGTTTGAACCGGTAGTGACCCCCCCGGGGCTCCTTTTCATGATGAACTGGTTCGAGGTAGTGGGGGGGAGGGGGTTCGAACCGGTGGTGACCCCCCCCCGATTTTCCGCCAGCAGCGGTAGAACACGCTCCTTCATATATGCTCGCAATGGCTACGTATGCCGCGTTCTCTTCTGCATATGTACGCATGTGCGATCCTGGGTCGCGAGTTCACAGGCCCGCAGCCCCCAGATTGGATGGGTCCCAAGAATCACCATGCCAGCCCCCCAGATGGGATGGGGGGGGAACGACGACGCCGACGTCGACGACGACACCGACGCCGACGCCGACGCCGACGCCGACGCCGACGCCGACGCCGACGCCGGCGACGACGACGACGACGACGACGACGACGACAACCACGCCGTAGCCGCCGCCGCCGCCGACGAAAACGACGACGACGACGACGCCGACGCCGACGCCCACGCCGACGCCGACACCGACACCGACGCCGACGCCGACGACGACGACGACGACGACGACGACGCCGCCGCCGCCGACGCCGACGCCGACGACGGCGCCGACGCTGACGCCGAGGACGATGACGACGGACGACGCCGACGCCAACGTCACCGACGACGATGACGACGACGCCGACGCCGACGACGACGACGACGCCGACGCCGACGCCGACGCCGACGCCGACGCCGACGCCGACGACGACGACGACGACGACGACGACGACGACGACGACGACGACGATGGACGACGGACGACGGACGACGGACGACGGACGACGACGACGAAGACGACGACGACGACGACGACGACGAACCACCCCACACCCACAGAGGGAGAGCAGGGGGTGCACCGGCACCCTCCACCACACCACGCGCACAGGACCACGACCACAGGGGGGGAAACGATCCCCTTCGCGAGGCCTTCGCGAGGTTCACGGTCGTACCCATCCAGCGAGGGGGCTCGATCCCTTAAGCATTGAGGGGGGACGGGGGGGCAACCCTGGATCATGTATACGCAATGCAGTGTCACGTAATGCTATGAGATGATCTGCGGCACAATGCTATATGCTATGCTACGCAACGGTGCTACGCCACGGTATGCTACGAGGTGATTTGCCATGCATTGCGGTGCTACGCCATGCTTATCATCGCAATGCGTTGCATACCGTTGCGTTGCACTGCATGCGCTTGCGGGAAAGTCGGCGTTGCTCGGGGGGCAAACGCGGAGAGCATGAAGCTTTCCAACCCCCCGGGGCCACAGAGCCCGACCCCAGTATCTCAAACGTGATGGAACTAGGCCGACACTCTCGACAGTGCCCTTGTGTATGCCTCCGCCTCCAGCACGAAGAGGACCTTTCACTGGGGCCGCACAGCGCTCATTTTGCTGTCGATGGCGGCAGGCTCCGCGCGCGATGTTCGCGCGCGGCCCGGCGACGGGAGCGGTCTGCGGAGAGCCTGCGCACGCAGGCGACCTAAATTACACAGCAGCGCACAGCGGGGACTTGGCAGAGCCGGGTGCGGGAGAGGAGGAGAAAGGGAGGCGAGTGCTCGGCTACACCGAAGAGTGACTCTAGGCAGGGTGTGCCCTTTGGTGCGCGGCTGTAGAGGGCCGCGGGGGGAGGTGGGCCAAGTCCAAGCGCAAGAGCCAGTGCTGCGCGGACCCCGTGGGCCCGCACCACATGCCACTCTGGAGACGGGCCACTCTTCCGTGCAGCCGAGGTCGAGGCGCGATGGGCGCCAATAGCGCTCACGCCGCAGCGGCCTGGCTGAGCGGCTCCACGGTGTAAGGCCGGCAAGAGCCACCTCAGGGGCGGCCGCCCGAGGCGAGGCCCGCCTGTGGGGGAACGAGAAGACACCGATACCGCTGCTCCACGGACTTCTCCCTGGCTGCCCCCTGTCCGGAACTTCGAGGAGAGCCCAGCCGTGGCGACGAGGGCTCTCCGGGACGAGGAGCGGTGTCGGCGGCGCTTCCTCCCCCGCGCCTGGCGCAGCTCGTCGCCGAGCTGCCACGCCGCGTCCAGGCCCCACTGCTGCAGGGCCTCCAGCGGCGCCCGCTCCGCGGCCGCCGCGCGGGGCCACGGCACGCTCGGGCGGCACCACAGGACGACGCCCTGCGCCTGCACGCGGCAGGGCGGCAGGCCCTCGCCCAGGGCCGGCCCCTCGCGCCGCAGGCAGCACACCGCCTCCGGCGCGGCGTCGCACACCTGGCCGTCCTGCCCGGCCTGCACAGCCTGCACGGCCGGCGGCCGCCGGCGGCGGGCGGACTCCCGCACGGGGCGGAGCAGTCGTGCCTTCCTGTCGGTGCCGGCGGCGCGCGGCAGTGGCGGCCACGTGGCCACGGGGCCCACGCCAGCGCGCATCACAGCGGCAGGGTCGTCGGCCCGCCCGTGGCGGCGCAAGAAGTCGTCTACGTAGATGGGGCCGTGCTGGTAGGAGCGGGCAAACGCGTCCCGCGCGGCCTCCTCGTCGCCCCCGCTGATTAGCAGATGACAGGCGCCGGCTAGGAACCAGGCGAGGCAGGCAGCGGACGGCGGCACGCGGAGTTCAAGGAGGGCCTGCGAGTAGCCAAGGGCGCCGTGGAAGTCGCCAGCCAGCAGGCGGCAGAGAGCGAGGTTGTAGGCCGCCTCGCGCTCGAGCCGCGGCAGCTCCTCGGTGGCGTGGCCAGTGCCCGCCGCATCCTGCTCTGCAAGCTCGCGCGCCAGCTGCAGCGCCGCAACAAAGTCGCCCTCTGCAGCCTCGGCATCGCCCTCGTAGAGCCAGCAGGCGCCCCGGAACAGAAGCAGCTCGTGGGGGCGGAACAGTGAGGGAACCGTGAGGCCCTCCACGGTGGCGCCGCGCCCCGCTGCGTTGGGCGCGCAATCGGTGGTATTCAGCAACGAGGTGAAACGAATGCGGGCGTGGCTGTAGCTGCCATTCACCAGCGCCTCGAGGCCAAGCACGCCGTCCCGCGCCTGGACTAGCACCTGCGTGCCGGGGCTCAGCCGCAGCGCGCGCGTGAGTCCACGCAGCGCGGGCCCCACACGGCCCAGCCCCACGGCGCAGAGCGCGCCCTTGTAGGCAAGCCGGGCGGCGGGCGCCCCGTGAAGCCTCTCTGCGGCGCCGAAGGTGGCCGCGGCCTCCGCCAAGCAGCTGCGCCTCATGAGCATGTCGCCTCCCGCCTCGTGCACGTCGTTGCGGTCTGGCTCCAACGCAATTGCCGCGCGGACTTCCTCGAGGGCGCGGTCGAACTCCCCGCGACCAGACATGGCCCAGGCTCGAAGCAGCCTGGCCTGCCACTGTTCTGGCGAACCCACTCGGATGGCCAGGCCGCACTTCTCGATGGCCTCGGCCTGCCGCCCAGCGCAGAACAGCGCCCGCGCCTGGAGCACGAGGCACTGCGGGCTGCCGCGCTCTCCGCTCGCCTCCAGCAGCCCACAGGCCTCGTCTGGACTCCCGACGCAAGTCAGGCAGACCGCGCGCAGCAGCTGGGCCGACGCTGGCGTGCCCGACGGGCCCTGTAGCTCCTCGACGGCCTGCAAGTCCTGCACGGCGTCGCGCAGCTGCCCGGCGCCCGACGCGTCCTTGGCCGCGCTGCTGCGGGGCCCTTCGGCACTGCAGCCTCGCGCCCGCGCGGCGCACGCCAGCGCCGCGGCCCTCTGCAGCCTGGCCTGCACATAGTCTGGCCGCAGCCGCAGTGCCTTCGTGAAACAAACGACCGCGGCATCGAACTGATCCGCCCTGGAGCGCATAGCGCCGCCCGCCATGTGCATCAACACCTTGGTGGCCTGCTCGTGCGGGTCGGCGGCGAGCACCTTGCGGCAGTCCGACAGCGCCTCCTCCCAGCGGGCCAGCTCGACCAGCGCCTCGGCGCGCAGCGCCCGCAGCAGCGGCGGTGCCTCCAGCGCCGACTGGAGCTGCGGGCCCTGCGCCACCAGATCCAAGAAAGTCCGGCACTCGAGCGCCCCCTGCAGGTCGTCGCCGCGGGCAAGCTCGTCCCTCCGCCGAGCGACCGCTCGGGCGGCCGCCGCGCAGGCCTCCTCCGGGCTCTGGGCCCCAGCGCGTGCCAGCGACGCTGCCGCTGCACCGCCGCTGCCTGCGGCGTGCTGCCCGCAGCGAGGCGTCGGCGCGGCCAGCGCCGCCCTCGCGCTGCCGAGCGTGGGCGGTCCGGAGAGCGCCAGGGCGCGGTCCAGCAGCGCCAGCGCCCCAGCGGCATCGCAGGGCGGCGGCCCGCGGAGCAGTGCCGCGGCCCTGCAGATGCACAGCGTGGCCCTCGCGGGTTGCGACGAGGGCTGCAGCCGCGTCGCCTCCTGCAGGTGCCCGAGGCCGGCCTGCCACTGCGGCCGCTGCGCCACCATGGCCAGCGCGCCAAGCAGCGCGTGCGCCGGCGCGCGCGTCTCCTCGTGGTGCAGGATGGACGCCTCCAAAAAACTGTGGGCCTCCGAGTGCCTCCGCTCCTCGAGCAGCACGAGGCCCCGCCAGAAGTACGCGAGGCCGTTGCAAGGCTCCATCCTGATGAGCTCCGTCAGGTCGGAGCCCGCGCCAGCGCGGTCGCCAGCCAGCCGCCGCAGCAGCGCCCGCCGCAGGAGCGCGTCCGCCGCGAAGGCGCGCACCTGCTCTGGGCTGGCGAAGGGCTCGACCGCGAGGCGGAGGTCGGCCTCCGGGAGCAAGGCGGCGGAGCTCTCGCAGCTACCATCCTCGCCCGTGGCCACCGAGGCGACCTCGCGCACGAGCTCTGCGTCTGGACGACTCTCGCCGCCGTCGTCGGAGTAGACGACGATGCTGCCCGCGTCCTCGGCCTCCTCGTCGGCATCGCCCCGCAGGTGGAGCGTCGTGGCCGAGCTGCCGCCCAGCCAGAGCGCTGCCGACTCGTCGGCCGCGCTCCCCGGCCGCGCCCCCTCGGGCGCCTCTGCCGAGGCCGGGCCGGCGCTGCCGAGGCACAGCTCCCCCGCGGGGGGCGGCGCGGCCTGGCCCCGGCCGCAGCGGACGGCCCGCAGCGCGACGCGCACCGCCCAGGAGTACTGGTCCAGCGCCTCGCCGAAGTTCCCGAGGCCCCGGAGCGCGTCGCCGAGGCCGCGGCGCGCCACGAGGTGCGCGGGCGCCTGGATGGGGCGCGTGTTGGCACGGCTGCCTCCTGGAGGCCTCCCCTGAGGCCTCCCTCCCTCACCGAGGCCTCCCCTCCGCCTCGGGAAGGTCTTGCCCGAGAGCACAAGGGAGCCCCCAGGAGATGTTCCACGCACAGAGGCACAGCGGGCATGCTCCACAAAAGCCCTGGGGGCCTCTCCGCAACGGCTCTGGCGAAGGGGGAGAAGGGGGAGGATGAGGAAGAGGAAGGAGGATGCAGAGAAGGAGGGTGAGACGGAGGAGGAGGAACCGCAGCAGCTGTCTCCTTCTTCGCCTCCCTCTGCTGCTGACCCACCTCCTTCCGAGGCTACTCCTCCCCCCACTCCTCCTCTCTGGACCCCCTTCCTCCTCCGCCATGCACCCTCGCCCTTCTTCCAGGGGATCCTCCTCCGCCTCCTCCTCCTCCTCCTCCTCCTCCTCCTCCTCCTCCCCAGCATCATCATCATCATCATCATCATCCTCATCATCATCATCATCATCATCATCATCATCATCATCATCATCATCATCATCAGCAGCAGCAGCAGCATCATCATCTTCATTATCATCAGCAGCAGCAGCATCATCAGCATCATCATCAGTATCATCATCATCATCATCGTCATCATCATCATCAGCATCATCATCATCATCATCATCATCATCATCATCATCATAATCATCATCATCATCAGCAGCATCATCAACATCATCATCAGCATCATCAGCAGCAGCATCAGCATCAGCATCATCATGCTCATCCTCGTCCTCATCACCATCAGCATCATCACCATCACCAATACCATCACCACCATCGTCACCAGCAGCAGCATCATCAGCAACATCAAACTCATCATCAACCTCATCCTCACCATCAAAACCACCTAATCATCATACTCATCATCAGCATCGCCATCATCATCAGTATCCGAATAATTCTTCTTAGGTATACGAGTCACAATGCTACTATTATATAGCGTAGTTAGGCTTAGCAGCATTGAGAGTGTGCGTCTTAATCGCCGTAATATAGGCATTATAAGTAATACTGTCGGTACGCATCGTCGTGGTTGTCATGTCAGTGTTGTTAGTGTTATTAGTACGAGTGATCATGCTACCATTCGTGTTAGTAGCCCTGTGTATGGTGTCGTGGTAGTGTTTGCTACTCTTCGGATGCTGCGTATTATTCGTAATATTACGAGTAGTATTAGTAGTACCATTCGTACTGTTATTCCCCATATCCTAAGATGGGGTTCTCGTTATTACTTGGACGCCTCATACTCATTAGTTTTCCTCTTCTTCTCCTCCTCCTCATACCCAGACTTACTCATACACAGACTTACTCATACACAGACTTACGCATAGTCAGACCTACTCATACTCAGACCTACTCATACTCACACATACCCATAATCATACCTACTCATACTCAGACCTACTCATACTCAGACTTACCCATGCTGAGACTCACTCATACCCAGACTTACTCATACTCAGGCCTTCTCGTTGTCTGACTTACTCTACACACAGCAGATTGTGAGAATGTCTCAGGCTGGGCGCTGGTTTCAGCACCCCTAAGGGGAGCCGCCGAGGGGTATGACACGGTCCCGTTCGCTGCCGTTGTGCGGGGATGTCTCAAGCGGTTTGCCTGGTTTCTGTCCCAACATCCATCGCTTTCGGAGCAGATTTGGAGGATGTCTCGAGCGAGGCGCTCATTTTCACGCATCTAAAGGGGAGCCGCCGAGGGGTATGACACGGTCCCGTTCGCGGCCGTTGTGTGGGGATGTCTCAAGCGGTGTGCCTGTTTTCTGTTCCAACATCCTTCGCTTTCGGAGCAGATTTGGAGGATGTTTTGAGCGAGGCGCTCATTTTCACGCCCCTAAGGGGAGCCGCCGAGGGGTATGACACGGTCCCGTTCGCGGCCGTTTTGTGGGGATGTCTCAAGCGGTGTCCTTGTTTTCTGTCCCAACATCCTTCGCTTTCGGACCAGATTTGGAGGATGTCTCGAGCGAGACGTTCATGTTCACCCCCCAGGTGGGCCAGATGTTGAGGATGTCTCGTTCGGTTTGCCTGTTTTGGTGGCCAGACTCGTGGGCACAGGTTCTCCTCAGGATGCCACAGGATGCTCCAACAGGCTCCAGGAGGCCCCTGGGGACCACATGAGGCCCCAGGAGGCATCAGGAGGCCACAGAAAGACTCAAGAGGCCACAAGATGTCCCAAGAGGCTCCAGGAGGCCCCAGGAAGCTCCAGGAGGCTTCAGGAAGCCACAGGAGGCCCCAGGAGGCCACAGGAAGCGGCAGGAGACTTCGGAAGGCAACTGGAGGCACCGAGAGGCCCCAGGAGCAGGAAGCCTCAGAAGGCAACAGGAATGGCTCCAATCCCATGTGTTTTACGTATGCTCCTATAGATGGGGCCTCACCTGGAGCACGAATCCTTGACGTTATACGTATGTTTCTATAGATTGCCCTCCTCCTGTGAACACAATCCTAAACGTTTTACTTATGTTCCTACATGTTGGGCCTCTCCTGGGGCACGAGTCCTTGGTGCTTTACGTGTGTTCCTATAGATTGCCCTTCTCCTGTGGCTCCAATCCGCAATGTTTTATGTACGTCGGTTGCTATAGATTGGGCCTCTCCTGGGGCACGAAGCCTCACTGGGAGGTCCCAGGAGGCCCCAGGAGGCCCCAAGAGGCTCCTGGAGGCCCCAGGAAGCCCCAGTAGGTTTCAGGAGGCCCCAGGAGGCCCAAGGCTCATGCTCAGAGACGCGCTCGTACTACTGAGGCTCATTCACACTCCAATTCACTCGCAGTTAGATTCATGACCAGACCGCCACAACTGAAGCCCGTTTATGTTCGAAAGCTCTTGCGCCTAGACCTTCACGGCGGACAGATCCATGCGAATAGATGCACATATGGGGAGCTC